TTGCTTTGCCACCTCTCAGGAGGTAACTTATGGATATTCCTCTGTGTCTCTTCTGTCTCTGTTGTTGCTGATTTGGATCTGAGAGCTCTGCATAAAAAGGAATCCTTGGAGTTCTCTTCAGCTATCCATCAAGTCAGTGTGATTAGGGAAAAGGAGCTCTGGACAGGGACATGAGGGACATGTCCCACCTCGTTGTGCTGGCACAGAGCAAGTGACATCCCCTGGGACACAGGTGGCAGGAGAAGGTTGTGGTCTGTGTCCTGTGGGAAGAATGTTGGGGGGGATGGGTTAAGAGGGTACCTCGTGGTCCCAGACCCCAGGGAGCAGCTCAGGGCTGAGTGTGTGTTACCTCGAGACTGTTTCTCTCATGGGAGCTCACAGGATATGAAGCTCTGGGGTGGGTCCCCCTCAGACATCCTGCCATGGGATTTTCCTGCTTTGTCAGAGGCAGCTGAGCTGGGAGCAGAGTTTTCCATAAGAGAAATAGGGGAACACTTCCAGGAGGGAATTCAGCCCATCTGCAGCCAAAGAGCTTCCAGAGGTGCCTTTCTGATGACTGCTATCAGCCATTGGGTCTGAACTTGGAATCCCATTTAAGTGCCTGAAGTGAGGTAGAATCACTCCAAACCCTCATGTTTGTTTTTACTCTTTTGAATCCTTTTGTGAGTCCAGGATCTTGCTGGCAGGGAATGAAGGCCCAGGGAAGTGAAACTACAGCCTTTCTGTGCTCTCATAACGTTGTGCCAGCGTGTCCTCAGTGACAGCATCCGTGACCTGGATTCACTGCCCACCTCTGGGCTGCTCTCCTGCCTGCACATCAGGGGATGGGAGCTCTGCTATCACCTCCAGGGGATGGGAGCTCTGATATCACCTCCAGGGGATGTGCTTGTGGTTGAACTTGCTCTGCTCTCACGTCCAGTGCAGCCCAAAGTTTTGCTCCTGATGAACCAAGCTCTGGGTCTCGAGGTTTCCAGTTAAAATCAGTGATGTCACTGCTCCCTCAGGGGCCAGACAGAACGTGTGCTAAGGGGAGATGCACTGAATTGGAGCTCCAGGGATGCTGTCCAAGGACAAAGCAGTTTGACCTAAATTCCTCCATGTGATGGCAGGGCTTGCAGTAATGAATTCTGTCTTATCTGTGTGATGGGGTTATGATTTGCAGGCATCAAAATCTGTAATTCAGTGAATGCTGCTCCAAACCTGGGAGGCAGCTAAATAAATAAATAAAATTCGTCAATGCAGAATAATGTGCTTGCACATGGTTAGCAATAGCCAGGCAACTGTATATCACAGCCAAGAATAATGTCAGGTTTTGGAATCAGATAAATTGCAAATAACAGTGCAGAAAACAACTGAACCTTGAGGAATATCTGCAGCCAGGCTGGACGAGGTGGCTGCAAAAAGCCTTTGTTTGGAAGAGAGAAATAGAGACCAATAAGACAGGGGGTAAAAAAAACTGGGGAGGGAACAGCAGGCCATAAAGCTGTGATCAAGTGCAGGAGAGATGATAAAAGGCCATGGACAGCCCAGGAAAAATATTAAGAAGCAATAAAATGCAGCATCAGTGGAGATAAGATGATAATTTGTTATTCTCAGCAGAGCCATTTGTGCACTGGGGCTCTTCCCAGACTCCAGAGCTGAGCTGGGCTCTGCCTTGCACCTTGTGCAGTGATTTACACCTTGGCAAAGCAGGAGGAAAACCCTCTGAGCAGGGAGTGGGAGGATTTGTGTGTGTGTGTGTGTTCAGGGGGGAGGGAATTCAGCTTTAGCAAAGCTCAAACCTATCCCTGGAAGGACTGGGAGGCTGGGAAGAGTCAGTTTTCCACTAGAATTATCCTAGTTCTGGACTCCTTGATTCCCCAGCCCTTTTCCAAGTGCAGAGGGCTGGGAAGAGCTGTTTATCCACTGGAATTGGCTGTTCCCAAACAGCTTTGGCCAGTCAGGAGTTGTGCATTCCCAACTTCAGTGCTCATGAGGATCAGCCCTGCTTCTCCCAAGGAAAAATGGCTCAGCAAGGCAAGCAGGGATGGGAGAACTGGGTGCCCTGAGCCACTGGGTCAGAGAGGTGACACTGACCCACAAATATGAAGGACAACACATCCCACACGAGTCTGGGAGTCAGGAAAAGGATTTGGAGGGATTTTGGCACGGCCTGGTGCCAACTGCTGTGGGCACACAGAGTTTCCTCACTGGGAACACCCTCCCTTTGCTCCCAGCTGCAAGACTTAGCTCAGACATGATAGTTCAAGACACCTTTGACTGGAAATAAATGAAAATGTCACTGGCTTTGGCTGACCTTTAGAGCTGTGATGTTGGTCTGAGCGTTGAACAGGCACGTGGGAGCAGGTGGGAGCAAATGCCTGTGCTCCACAGGGCAGAACTGCCTCTGGGATGTAGGAACCAGCCTGAGAGATGGAAAAATGGGAACTGGAGAGGCTGGAAGTGCCTCTGGGAACGGGAGGGGAGGGAGCTGCATGGAGTTATCTCCCAACTCCATCTCTGCATCCTCTAAGTGGCACAGACATTGTTCAGCAGTTTTCAAAGATGCTGATAACAATGATACAGATCCCTGGTACTTATTAAGCTGATGGCTTTTAAACATTAAATTCCAGCTATAATTAAATTAACTGAAATTGGTTTTTTTAAAAAAAAAAATAAAAAAAAAAGAATTCTAAGCACTCCCCAGTAGCATTTAAAAGGTGAGGGAATTGCCTGTAGGCCTAAATAAGCATTGCTGCAGATTGAATCCAGGACTAATGGGATAGCTAATGACTGAAGTTGTAGTCAGGGGACCACAGAGGAGGGACAAGTTCAGTCACTGGGGAGGGTTCTGTGGTGCTGTCGCTGTTTTTCCTGGAAAGGGACTCCAGGCCAGCCTCTTGCAAAGCCAAGGAATTAGATGCAGAGTGACACGATCATCCTGGCAATCAGGAAGTGATTTCTTATGGAATTCTTCCATTTCAAACAGTTTTATGCACTCATGCAGCCCAGAGCTCTGCCTGCCCTCCCTCTGGGTGAGGATGGGCTGGGCAGGGGGAGCTGCCACCAGGGCAGGGAAGCAATGCAGAGCTTTTAGTGCCTCCAAGACTTTCTCATCCTCTGTCCCACAGGCAGCTTTTGGGAGGGAAGGAGAGAGCAAAGAGCTGGGTTTGGCTCTGCTGAGCTCGAGTCCAGCAGGTCTGGAGCTGGGGATCCGTGTGTGTTGTGGGCTCCAGCAGTGGCACAGTGTGCTCTGTGCATGCTGGGGCTGGGAATGCTGCTGGATATAACCCCACAGCAACTTGGGAAGGGATTTCCCATCCCTCCCAGCATGGTGAGATTGCCCTTTGGACTTCCAAAGGGTCTGGCTGGGGAAGGGAAGCCTTTGGTGACCTCAATCTGAGTGTAGCCAAGCGTCACCTCCTGCACAGGCAGCCTGGGAACCCCTGTGAGCACAGAGACCCATTTTTAAAGAGAAGAGCTGAAGGAAGTGACAAACTAAGTTGCACAGACTCTAACCCTGCTTGCTGTTCTGTATTTAAATCCATTGTTATAGCCTGGGGCACCCTTGAATAATTACTTGTGCTGACTGTGACGTGATGCCACACGAGGCACAACAGGGCTCAGTGATGCCAGTGGGGCTCTGAGCTGGCCCTGTGGAGCCTGTCCCACCTGCAGAGGAGGTCCCACTGATGGACTTTGGCAGGATAAACCCCTGGGCCTCACTTTCCTTGGCTCCCTGTGCTGTGTCTCTGCTCCCTGTGCACGTGTCCTACACGTGTGTGTGTCCCCGGGTGCCCTCCAGCAGCCCAGCCCCTGGCCTGAGGCAGGCAGATGGTCCCTCAGACAGCCCCAGGCCCCTTTGCTGCAAACTATCTTACACTGGGAAAAATACCCAACCATTTTCACCACTCCCCTGTGAGGAACTTGGTGCTGGTTGAGCTCGTTTCCACTCCAGCAGCATCATTTACCTGGGAGGGGGGGACAGCTCTGTGAGGGGGCAAATAACAAATATCTTATAGGGGAAATTATAGGGTGGGTTCAACAGGCCAAAGAAACACCCTCCTGTCCAGGTTAGTCCTCCTGCCAAAAAACCAGCCGTGTTCCTGGTGACGTCCCTGGGGGATGGGGGACGCAGTGAGAACCCCACTTGTCATCTGGGACCTGTCCTGGCAAAAAATCCATGATACTCTCGGCCATGAGGGCTGCCCGTGTCAGCAGCTGCCAGACTGAGCAGGCAGAGACCAGGCTGAGCATGTCCCTGGTGTGCAGGAGTGTGGTGGCACCGTGTGAAGACAGAGGTGCCCTGCCTGTGGCTTCACCCAGCCCGGGGTCAGCAATGCAGGGCAAAAGGACTTGGTGTGGTGGGAGCTGGGCATCAACTCAAAGCTGTTCTGCCAGACTACAAGAAAAGAGCAAGTAGGACCTTCAGGACAGAGCTTGCAGGGAAAGCAGGGGCAGCTGTGCCTAAATCTGAGCACCCATGGGGAAGGCACATGCTCAGGGATGAGCTCCTTTAAGTTCTCTGGGACATCTCTGCTGCATCAGCCTCCTGCTTGTACCTCTGCCCAGGGCTGGGTTTAGTCTTTGCAGCTTGTTGGAGTAGTTGAGGACACAAGGGAATGTCAGAACCTGCTCTCCAGCTCGTGGCAGAGGTGCTGAGCTGCAGCACATGCTCGTGTCAGATCTCCTTTGCCAAGATCCCCTCTGCAGGAATCATTTCTGAAAGACATTTAACATTTCTGTTCCAGCTTTGAAGATCAGATTAAAGTGTGTTCTGTTTTGAAGGAATTGAAAATATACTTGTTAATTTAATAGAAGGCTTCCTCTGGCTTGCAGGATTTGTCCCTGTTAGGCACATCATTCAAAAAATTACCTATTGTGGTTGAAAAAAACAATTTCAAGGCATCTGGAGTTGTGCTAATAACTGTGAGCAGCAAGTCTTCGATTCCCTTCATACTTCATTACTGGCTTGTCCCAAAAAACAATCCTGTCTTAATCAGGGCTTGTTTCTCTGTCAGGTTATTGTTCATTGTGAGATGTGAGGCAAAAGAAGGCATTTCCCTGCTTTTCCTTGGTTGAGTTCCCTGTCCACTGCTGACAGCCCTGCTGGAACAGAGTGAGTTGAGGAGTTTGATATCAAATCTATCACTGGCAGAGCAGATGTTTTTCCTTTCCTCCCACTCTCTGAATTCCTTTCCTGGTTGGATGTTGGAATCACTGCTGGGAGGAGAGGACAGAAGGGAGGACAGGCAGATGGACAGACACACGGATGATGAGGTCACGCCAGCCCTCAGCCCTGTTACAGCACAGGATTAGGGGGGTTTGTTTCCCAGTGAAAGTCAGGAGTGTGGAAATCCCACCTTTCATCTGCCTCAGCCCCTCTGCAGGGTAACAACCTGCTCATTCATCACAAGGAAAACACTGCAAGGTTTAATCATTTCATATTAGAAAGCACTTTGATAGCCAAAGCTCTACACACCTGCTAATTAACAGTAACTCTGTTTGAACTATCGATAATTAATGTATATTTTATTTCCCAGTGTGTGTTTGCCAACAGAGGCAGGAAAAGGATGGCTGTGCTAAGGGGAAGGGACAGGGAACACATATCTCTGCTCATGAAGTGACCTCAGGTGGCTGAACCCCCCAGGCTTCCTCTTTTCTCTTCCTTTTGGGCTCCCTCAGATTAACCTCTCTGCTCTCCCTCTGCTGAACAGGTTCTTGCTGCTGCTGCAAAGCACAGAGAGAAAATCCCCTCTCGAGCTCGTGGGTGAAAATGCACCAGAGTCGATAAAAATGACCCCTATAAATCCAGAAATGTGACCCAATAAATCCAAAGTGGGATTTTCCCTTTTGGTTTTTTCCTCCTTATTGAAGGAGTTGATTTTGTTCTCTGGGTCTGGGTGTCTTGTGATGGGCACAATCTCTCCAGAGCTCCAGATACCAATCGAAACAGGAGCAGCATCTGGCACTTCCTTTAGCAGGAGAAGTAAATCAGGAGGGTTGCTGCATACATCTTTGCTATCATCTTGCTGTTCTGAAATGACTCATTTTGACTTTATCTCTTCCCTGGAAACCTGTGTCCTCACCTCTGAGTTTTATGCATTGATGCAATACACCAGAGATTAAAAAAAAAAAAACAAAACAACAAACCAGCTAAAAAATAAAAAAGATTACATCGTTTACCAGCCAGTTGGTGGTTTCTTCTGTGCTCCTGACCAGCTAATGCTGTGGAGTTTATTTCCATTAGTTGTATTATTGCCTTTTATCTGCTCTTCCCCACGGCACTTAAAGCGACGTCAAGGCGCCAAATCTATTTTTATGAAATTGCCCCGTGAAAAAATATTAAATAAATAAATAAATAAATGAAAAATTTAAGAGACCAGCAAGCAGAAAAGGTGATGGATTAGATCTTAAAGCGTCAGAACAGCTCCTTAGGCTCCTTTCTGCCACGAGCTTCATTTCAAAATGTTTTGTTCCTTTGTCCCCCTGATTTTTCCATGGGCTGTTTTATTATCACTTTTGTTATAGCTTTTCATCTATTGCTGTATTAAGTGTGAGGCTCTCGAAGAGCATTTTGCAGAGGAGGTGCTGAGGTGTCAGAGAACTCCCCGAGGCCAGGGGAGGGATGTGTGTGGGATTCCTGAGCCAGCCCCCCTGGGCTCTCGAGTGGTGTTTGCTGGGAGAAGGACTTGGGGGGCTGGTGGGGGACAGGCTGGAGGTGACACAGCCCAGAAACCCCCTGGGCTGATCCCACAGAGGGCAGGGGGGGATTCTGCCCCTCTGCCCCCTCAGGTGAGACCTCCCTGCAGAGCTGCCTCCAGCTTTGGGGTCCAGCAGCACAGCAAGGACATGGAGCTCCTGGAGCAGGTCCAGAGGAGGCATCAAGAGGGTCCAAGGGCTGGAGCAGCTCTGCTGGGAGGAAAGGCTGGAGAACTGGGATTGTTCAGCCTGGAGAGGAGAAGGCTTTGGGGTGACTTAATAGTGGCCTTTCAGTACCTGAAAAATGGAGAGAGCCTGGAGTGACAGGACAAAGGGGAATGGATTCAAAGTGCCAGAGAGTAGGTTTAAATTGGATATTAGGAAGGAATTGTTCCCTGTGAGGGTGGTGAGGCCCTGGCACAGGTTGCCCAGAGAAGCTGTGGCTGTCCTTGGATCCCTGGAAGTGTCCAAAGCCAGGCTGGATGGGGCTTGGAGCAACCTGGGCTAGTGGAAGGTGTCCCTGCCCATGGCAGGGGGTGGGACTGGATGATCTTTAAGGCCCCTTCCAGCCCCAACCATTCTATGATTTGAAGTTTGCCAGTGCCCTCCCACAAACCTGGTGCTGGGCCAGGAGGTCAGAGCCACGTCCTGTGGTCCTGCCTTGGGTTTTCATGGTGACCAGAGTCCACAGCTGGAAAAGAAAGTTTCACTCCTGGATTTTCCCTGAGCACCTACTGTGCATCCCCAGGCAATGAGCTTTAAGTTACAAAAAAGTGACACTGAGTTTTGTAGCTCTGGACAGCAGCAGTTGCTCAGCTGCCCAGTCATGTTTCACATTGGGATTGCCAGCAGAGAGATGATGGTTTGGAACAAAGATCTCAAACTGTGCTCAAATGGCTCTTTTCCCCCCCTCCCCAGATTGAGGATGGGGGTTTTTTTTAGATATTCTTTCACCAGCCAAAGGTCACGTTTTCACAGCATCCCAAATAATCTCATCCAAGAGACACAGCTGCAGTTTATCCCTGCTCCTAGGCAGGTTAGATGCCAGGGAATGCATTACCAGGGGTATGGGAACACGTGGACATCCAGAGTGGTCTTGCACAGATCGCTTTTCTTTCGGACACAGTTTATTTACCGCGGTTTAAAAAAGAAACACGAGAGCACTTTGCCTGCAAAGTGCAGCAGCGCACCTGGGTTTGCATTTATCCACGTTTAGGAGGTGTTAAATGTGCTGGAACACAGCAGGAACTGCAGGTTGCAGCTGTATCCTGGCCTGAACTCGTGGAGGTGATGGGTGCCAAGAGCTGGAAGTGCAGCTCCATCGTGGGGGTCGAGCCCAGAGGGTGGGAGTGGTTCAGTCCAGGCCCTGCTTTAATTTGAAACTAATGCTTCTTGTTAGAGGTATCCAACCTGGAAAGACTCCAAACCACGAGGAGACCTCAGCCTTCTCTTGCTCTGACCCTGCCAAGCCCCGCTGGGTTTGGATCACCTTTCCCTGCACGAGGAGCGTCTCAGTGGGGCTTCCAAGGGGCGTTCGGAGCCTGGATTGGATCTGGAAGCTTCCAAGGGGCATCCTGAGCCTTGATTGGGTCTTTGGAGCAGGTGATTCGTTTTAGATGAGTTGAGCTTGGCACTCCAAGCCCTCCTGTACATCCTCATTTGACGTCCTTCTGCTGCCTTGGCTCCAGAAGAGCATTAGCGTATTTTTTTTTTCTTTTTATAATATATAAAATTATATATGCCAGGGGCTCAAGTCCTTAACTTGCACAGAACTGATTTATAGCATTACTTGGCAATCTTGAAGCTGTTCAGTGTTACCTCTCAGCTCTGTTTATGCATTTTAAAACAGAGAGGGAGACAGTCTGCTAATCCTCCGTGCAGCTTGCCGAAAACTTTGAGCTTTCCTTGGAAATCGTGCCGCACTCGGAGCTCCCGAGCTCCCCATGAAATTATTATGATTCCTTTTGAAACCTGAGGAGCTTTAAATTCCAAGTGCACCTTGCACCTGGCTCTCCTTCCTCCTCGCTTCAGCGGAGGTGACTTTGAGCAGGGCTGGCTGGGATGTGGAAAGGCAGCTTTTTCCTCCCAGAGGGATGAAATCGCCCCCAGCTCCCCCCTGGGGCTCCCCAGTGTGGATGTCAGGGTGTCAGGAACGGGGGAAGCAAAGGGAACAGGCTGCAGCACAGAGTTAGTTAGAGCTGAAAGCTGATTCTGACATTTGGCCTTGTTTGGGAGCTTCAGAGCAGGGATTCAGAAAAGAGCTGGAGAGAGAAACACCTTCGGTCGTTTTTCAAGTGGGATAAAACCGCCTTAAAGACACCATTAAGGAAAGAGCTATTGATGATAAAGGCCAATAAAGATGTAGCTGAGTCTTTATTCAGCTGGAGAGCTACTGAGAAGCAACAAAGTTGGGTTTGTGTTTGAACTTTTCTGTTTCATGTGCAAGGGCTGGATTTGTGTCGGGTTTGGCTGCAGAGCCGAGTCCCACGTTACTGCCCTGGGAGAGGGGGAAGGTCTCTTGGAACAGGGATAACCCAGCTGGGAGGGAGTCCTCTGACTGCACCCCAGCATGTCCATTTAATCATTTAATCATCAGTCCTGGCACCTCCAACCCTCTTAGTAATGGAGACAAAAGTTCAGCCAGGCATATTAACCCCTTAATTAATAATCTTGGTGCTTAACTACTCTGCTCTTAACCCACTGAGCTTCTGCTGACATTGATGGAGCACCAGGACGTGTATGTGGTACCTTCAGTGGAAGTGGTGCCTGGGCAGTGCTGATTTTTGGGATGGCAGATGAGCTTTTTTGGGGGGTTCACCTCCTTCAGCAATTTCCTGAAGGTCAGTTTTATTCGGTGGTTCTTCCTCAGGGTCTGTTGTCTGACTCCCACAGGAACAAACCGTGGTTACACCCCCAGTGGCTCCCCCAGGTGCTCTCAGAGAGCTGCCCCAGTCCCCAGGTCTGTGGCCTGGCACACTGAAGGACTCTCCCTGTTCTCAGTGGTCTGTGATGCTCTGAGGGTGACAGGGGAAGGGGCTCTGCCAGCCAGAGAAAAACCCTGCCAGGGGAATGGCAGAAGGCCCCCTGTTCAGAAGGGGTCACGGCCACAAGTGGAACTCTCTCATCACTAAAGGGACACCAAAAAAAATGAAACAGCCCATTCTGAAAAATTATGCCCTTTGCACCACCCAGTAAAAATACAAGCCATAAATTCTGGGTGAACTGAAGCATGAGCAAAGTGATCACTGATGTGGCTCATGACCTTTAATTGCTTTTGAATTTTTAGATGCTCTAGAGTGCAATGTGGCTCCCTGAATGTGACCAAAATGTAGTTTTTCACCTTGCAAACGCTCCAGCTCTTGCCTGCCCTGTTCCTTTGCCTCAGGACAACACACTGTGCTCCTGTTTGAAATAAGTAAAATGAAGTTATGACTCACCTGGCTGCCACTCAGCTGCAATTCTGGGGTGAGAGTCAAAAGTCTGCAAAGAGTCTGCCAGCACTGAGGTGCAGCTCAGCACCAGGCTGAGTCTCTCATCAGCATCTCAGAGCTGATGGCACCAGAAGCAGTGAGGTTACTCATGAGTAAGTTTTACTAAGAGATGAGGATGCTGTCAGTTAATATTTGATATCACCCACCCGATACAAGTGGGATTTAAGCAGCACTCAGGCCCTGGGCTGCATTTTTTAAATTTTTTTAGATATCCCTTTTCCTCTTCTCATTCCCTGATAAGTATTTCTGTTCAAACTGTCGTGGCATCACTTGTCCTGAGGAGAGCTGTGGCTGGAGCTGGTCGTGCACAGGGAGCAGCAATTCCTAGTGCAGGACCAGGAAAACTCCTTCCCCTCTGGAAGTGATGATATCTTCCTCTGCTCTGGGGAGATACAGCAGGCACAGCTTCTCAGAATGTTAAGCTGCAAATGCAAATTCCTCCCCAAAGTGCATTTTCGTGCTTTATCTTTCATCTTTTACATAACTCTCAGTGTCTGCCCCTCTAAGAAACTCTTCCAGGCACTAAGAGCAGAGAAAATCAAGGCAACAATAAAGGAAATCATTTGCTTTCTCTAAAAAGACAGTAAAA